TTGCAGATTGCAGTTGACTCTGCTCCGGTCCTGTACTATTTAAATAGCAGCCGCTAGAAATTCCTCCTCCTGCTTCTTTTTCAGTCCGTGAGACTTGCCCCGGCCTAGTCTAACACAATAATAGGCAATACTTCACCAACCAGCAAACGTTTCCATTGCTTGCTGGCTAACAAAAATGAAGATATCCTGTGATCTGTTTATTACCATTCTCAGCACCCGGTTGCAAACTAGACTAGTTGAGATATGACACGCTCTAAACCAGCAACTTGTTTCAGGTGGGTGTACTTGCTGGGATGTGTGTTTCGCCTTGTGCTTTTGTGAAGCTGCCGTTGTAATTGGTTTCTTCCATGGCTTGCTTCATTTATTTGGCTTTCACAGTGGAAAAGACAAAAAAAAGTGTTTGTTTCTAAAAGGGAAAAGAGAACTTAGAGCGTTGAGATTTTATTTGAAATTGAAGTTGGGTAAGTTCAAATTTAACCAAATTATTTACTCATCCATTGGTAATTAACATGGAATCCCTTCAGGTGTTGTGTCAGGACTATCAGTTCATAGGTGAGATTTTGAGGTAGAACTTCATAAATCTAAATATTCATTTTGGCTAAAAAAAAAACTGCCTGATCCAGCAGATTTTTGTCCTTGCCAGTGCATTGTGGGAGGGTGGTGGGCTAGCGGTGGTCCTGGCATCTGGAGGACACTATCAAGGTCAGTCACAGTTGTGCTCTGCTCCCCTTCCTGTAGTAAAGTTGGCAGAAAGGTGGGTGCACAGCTGTTTCTGACCCAGGAGGGCACCAGCGAGGGCAGGCCAAAGAAAAAATTTCACAGCCAACGGCATGGAGGGCGCTAAAGCCCAAATGTGGACCACGAGTCCTGCCGATTTGACCCTTGCTGCCAATGAGATCTTTCAGAACAGTCCAGGAAATGTGAGATGAGTGGAAAATCTGGTTATTCATTGTGGTGCCGCTGTCAGAAGCTGTCATGATCTGCAGAATCCATCGAAAGGCCTGCATCCCTTGCTGCAAGGCCACAAATGCTCTAGGCATAACTTTCTCTTCTGGAACTGATGTGGCCCCTTCCAAGTCTGCCAGCATCCTGAACCTCTCCATAGCCAAATGGTGTCTTTGCTCCCTCCTCCCACACTTCTTTCACAGCTGCAGTTCAGGACACATCATCCACAAAAAGCTCCTTGCCTACCGTTTGTGCCAGGGCTGGGGACATGAAGGCAAAAGGCTGAACTGCAGAGGACGCTTGGAGATTGGCCACCTGGCTGAGCACAATATTGGTCCATGTTTGCTTAAACCAGCATGCTGAAGTCTTCCATATCTCTCACAGCTGCTCCTGGCATAAGTAATCGCATAAGTAACCACCGCGTTGGCCAGCTGTGTACCGTAAAGATCCTGGTAGTTTTCAGTGCACTGGAATGACACTGGTCAGCATAGGCAGTGTCTGAAGTGAAGAGCCATGTGGATCATGTGCCTGTTAAATCATCTGAATTTGATGTGCCTGGAAAGACACTTAAACTCCTGGTTAACTGAGGAAAGGCAGACTGTTGACAACAGTGTAGCAGCCACTTCATTTGTTGTGAGACCCATCAGGGATGGTGTATGACTCAGTTAAGGATTTGTACCCATGTCCAGAAGGTTGTGGGTTCTAATCCTGTGGCTGGCAGAGAAATCATATCACCAATGGGCCCTTGAGCGAGGTCCTTAACCCCAACTACTCTAGGGAAGCTGTTGGCTGTGATTTTAGACTATTTTAGTGTTTTATGTTGAGGCATTTTCGAAGAGATGAGTGCCTTGCTTGGATCTAGTTACCACCCGATTTTACAGCATTCCAAAAGCAGTGTGATTGATAGTTATCACCATTAAATTGAGTGTGGCTGTTTTTATTGTTTTTTTTTGTGGGGGGGGGGAGGGGTGAGCTCTTGTTCTCTGTTCATGATTTAAAGATGCCAATTCACCTGACAGCATGAACTGCAGGAGGAAATGTGAGTGGCTGAGGAGGACTGTGCAAACACACGGGAGGGGATTAAATCTCACCCCCCCCCCCCCCCCCCCCCCCCCCCCCTCAACAGTTTCCCACTCTCTCACTGGGCAACAATTTGCATTTATCATTTTATTATATTACATTTAAAATATTAAATTCATTAATATTTTAGGGAACTGGAGGTTCAATTTTTTTGTTATCGCGTAGTTGCATTTTAAAAATAAGTGAAGCATGAGTTACTGTTAGCAGATCATTACTGCTGCTAGTGCAGATTTCTGCCATCATGTTTACTGATGCATTGCTAAGCCTTCGCGCCTGAGATCACCTAGTCCATCCTGCAGTTACCGTGACTCATTTTTCCATCCGCGTAGTCGGTGGGCCAAGCTGCAGGCCGAAAAAGATTCAGGGAAATCAGAAGTGCGGCTCCTGCCATCCTGTCCTGTTGCCACCGTGGAGAGGGAGCTGGCCAGTGCGGAGCCGTGTGACGTGAACCTGGCGGGGTCACGTAGAGGGAGCACGTGTCGGCATCGTTGGAAACACAGAAGGTCAATAATGTTCCATGGCGTGTACAGAGTGATGCCACCCACCACCCGGAGAGGATGGGAAGGGGGGGGTAGCCCTTCACAGTTGCCCACTGGATGTCAGGGTCTGGCCAGACAGGCAGGTCAGAAGTGGAGCGTTGACTTTCCACAGAGCTGGACTCTTTGGCTCTGAATCACCCAAGCGCAAAATACCATGTGACTGCTATCTTACTCATACGCTCGCAGCCTTTGCATTCAGTCCCTCCCCCTCTCTACCCCCCATCCCTCAGGCTGATGGTGCCTGTGTGTTTGTTTAGGTCTAATCTAGATGACAGTGGCACCCCAAGGGCTCTCATTGTCTCCCGCGCTTCACGGCTGGGGCTCTGCTCCGCTCCGCAGTGCGAACAGGATCGCGGAGCCCCAGACGGAGCATGTTAGCTGCTATTATTACTGCTGAAGGAGGAAAACTATAGATTCAATACACTACAAATACAACTGCCAAGCGGTTTCTAAAAATGGATTTTAGAGCAGGTTGGGACTTCAGCAGAGTTTATCCATATTCATGTTTTTGGTCTTAGCCCTATTGTTTCTTGCAATGATTTGACCAAGATTGCATTCTGTATGATTTGGTGACCCATGTTGCTGTGTTTTTTTAGCTTCCGAAATCAGCAGCATGCAACACTTTTAAAGAGATGGCAGGACTTCGTACTAGATGAAAACTTGTAAATCTGAAATCTATTTTTATGGTTAAAGTTGTGATTACGGTACTGCTGGTGATTACAACCCTTTTCCTTTGCCTGGGGTCATTGAAAGACTTGCCAAGGAGCTGGTTGACTGGTGAACCCAACTCTGGAATTGTCTACGTTAGGTACCCGCTCACATTCCTCCTGAAATTTCCTCTGAAATAAACCGATAAAGCTAGCATTGTTTTTTCGTGGAAGGATGAGTACGCCTGTTGATGAGGGCTGAATGTTTTCAAGGTGAATGCAAGAATACAGACTGCTCTGAGGAGCTCGGCTGAGGGGAGCATGCTGCAATGTGACAGTGCGTCTCTTGTTCCAGAGTGAAGGCTGGAGGCTCTTTGTGCTGTACGCCTGTCGCACGCTTTGCTTACAGCAGTGCAATGTGGAGATGGCTGCCTTTGCACGATGCAACAGTGGACTGTGCCAAGAGTACAGGTCCTCCGCTGGTTGGGGTTGTGCTTCTCCCCACAATGCCTGCCGATAAACAAATTCTTGAGTTTCAATATTAATTTTGGAAATGGCCGTCATTTTAATAATCGGCATTAGGTGAGGTGGACAGGAAGATGGCATAAGTCTCAATCATAATGACATCATAGATCCCTTAGTTAAAAAACTGTGCTAACTGATATAAGGCACAAAATACTTTTGCTGTTTCGGGGTTTCAAACCTTTAAATCAAAACTCCCAAAACTAGGTACAACTGCACGTGCTTCCATAAGCATAGAATGCACAGTGTCAGCGCCAGAACACATCTGACGGGCGGGCACTCTGGGGGGGGGGGTGTTGGGTAAACTGACAATCCACGCCCCTGGGAGAAATCGTGCTGAGCGCCTATCAGAGGCGTTTCTAGCTATTGAAAAAATCGTGGGCTTAGTCAAGTTACCCTGGGGCTAAAGCTTCAAATACTCCGGGACACAAACCCGAGTGATCGGACCTAACGACACCCATGGCGCCTATATTAAAAAATAAAATTAAATAAAGTACAGTATAAGATGGTGTCCTTGTTGGGTAGCGTTTGGGGGGGGCATGTGCCTCGAATACCTCCATGAAACTGAGCCTTGATCTGCATTTTTTAAGCTTATTGCACAATGATATGTGACCAAATCACAAATAAAGAAAATTCTCAAACGATGTAGCAACGTGGAAATGGTAACCATCGTAGTGCATGAAAGTGTAATGAAACTAATAACTGAATGCCAGGTTTCCGTTTGGACCTTGCTTTGCCTAGAGAGTGTTTATAAAGAACGCTGCCACGTAACCCAAACTTGTGTCGCAATTTAACACTGAGCCAATGAGTCAATTTTATTTGTATTATATTTTTAGCCTAACAATACTCTTTCGCAGTATCAAACTGGATTTCCACAGAAAAGTAAATCATTTTCCACCAAGTAATCACAGAGCTGTTTATATATATGTTTATTTACACACAGGGAAAAAACAGCTCTAAACGGTTGTGAAAACGTCTGATTAAATATGAATACAAAATATGAAAAAAAAAATACTCCCACTACGACTGCCAGATTATACATTTACACTGCTCAATATTACAGATATTACGCACAAGTCGTTAGTTGCAAATATATCCGTGCATTTTATTTAGTCTCATCGTATTGCAGCTTCGTCTGAATTAAGGCCACCTGAAGAGGTCCCTCCATGCGCTCGAGGCGTTACAGATGCGCGCTTGTCAGCCACACGCGCGCGTGCTTTATGTTTTCGCGCCGGAGAAGGCACCCGCTAAGGCGCGCGCTCGCCATCGGAGCCGCTCGGAGCGAGAGCTCGGAAAGCGGCTCGCGTGACGCAGCGTCTGCGCGGCTCGGCTCATTCACTCTGTGCTCATTAACGGGCTCGCGAGGAAACCAGTGTCTGAGGAGCCCCCTGGCTGCCTGGATTACCGTGCGTCTCCCTCCCTCCCTCTCTCCCTCCTCTCTCGCTCTATCTCTCCCCCCTCTCTCTCTTTGGGCACTTCCATCCATCCCGACCGAGCCTGAAAGCGTTCGCTCTCTCCCCGGCTTACCTCTGCACAATAACAGTGGGCATGCAACGCGGCGACCGTCACAAACACTCGCCAAAAGCATGGAAAAGCTGCCTACGCGTCTACAAATGCACTTTATACCTATTCGTCTTTAGTCTGGAACTAAGGACAGTGGTCTCAGGTAAGAAGAAAATCAGTTTCTGCTTTGTTACGAGTTCTCTTTTCAAATTTACTAGCCGCTGCCAAGTCCACAGGAACTCTTCATAAAACTTATTTGTATATGTGTGTTTTTTATATTTCTCGAGACGAATCGGAGCTGAATTGCGCGATCTGGTTTCGTATCCGGAGAGGCTGATGCGGTGGAATGCCACGAGAGTCCAGACCCTGAGCGAAACCAGATGTGGAGAAAAGGGATAGATAGAGTTCGGCTTTTTGGAAGGGGGAGGGGACTCTTAACCTTTCGTGTTGGTGCATTTTTTTTGCTGAAACGTTAGAATATATTTTCTTAAAGATGGAATAACACGCAGGTGGAATAACAGATCTTGATTTTTACATAAATCATTCTTTTTTTGTACGGAAATTGTAGCTGAGGTGCTGCGACGGAGCGCCAATTGGCGTGCAGATGTTACGCTGCGCGGCGTAATATAATGAGATGCGTGTCGCCGTGTGGACGATCGACCCGTCTCCCGGTACTCTCCGTGCCACCGTGTCACTGGCACTGTGTCCTCCGATTGCGTGCATATGGTTATTCTTCATAAACCTCGGTTGAGGCACAAAGTTTACGAGGCGCAGAAAAACAAAAGTTCTGTTTGTATGGAAAAGCAAACAGAATTCTTAATTCAGCAGTATCCCTCTCAGAGGAGAAAGAATAATTGTTTTGGGGCAGTTAATCAGCATAAGGTGTCTTTATATGGACGTTTGTAGGTTTGTATGACTGGCACGGCACTGCCCCAGGAACACCACCCTCGAGTGAAATCCAGTTTTGCAGGGGGCATGGGAGGATCGTTCTGGAGTGAATACTACTGTCAATCTCCTTGGGTCTCAAACTCAAATTACCCAGGGGCCACTGGCTATGTGGTATTTCCCCAAGGGGGCCATGAGAGAAATCACACAACAAAAAGTCCCATATTTTTCAGCTTGAATTTTTAAATTAATCTATAAACAAACAAGCCTCAGCTCAATTAAAGGAAGAATACATTAGTGGTAAGCTGAGATGAGATGGCATAAAAATTGAATTTCATGATTATATCGACCAAAATTATCGGAGTAACCAGTATTATCGTTGTATTAATCAAATGTGCTGAAAATCTTAAAAAAACTACTGAGACACAAACTGCAATCATTTTGCCAAGTTCTACAATAAAAACCATTAGCAGCAGTATGCACGTTTTGTTTGCATAAAATAATAACATAGCCAATACCCATGTAAACATAAGAAAACCATCCTAAGAGTTCGAATTTTCACTGAACTTCAGACAAATACAAATAATGCTGTTCCATCGTAGTTACACTGGAAAATCGATTCAGAAGAAGGAAACTAGTCTAAATTGTTCTGTTTTAAGAATATCTAAATACAAATGTACACAGAATTAATTCTTGGCAAACGGGCATTCAGCTAGCATGGGCATTCAACTAGCATGGACATTAAGAAAAAGGTGCCATTTCCACTACACAACTGGCAATGTGTAGCGTTTTTATAAGAGGAGGTAACACTGAAAGCTACTGTGCTCTACTAGCTCTTGACAAACTATTAGCAAGTTAGACAGACAAACTATGACATTTTCCCCCTATTCTGAAGCTCAAACATCATGCACTGAGCTAATAGTTAACTTACCTGGCATTCGCTATAAAGTAATGGGTAGTGGTCGCGGAGATTAAAAACCAAAATACAGCTACACCAGACTTAGTCCTCTTCAACGGCTGAAAAGTCGCAAGAGCGCTATAACTGCCTTCTGCCATGTTTTTACTGACATAAAACAAACCCACGTTGCATGCTGCACCTGCGTGCTTGCGTCTGGGAGACTGTTGCTACCTTTGGTTGATGAACCACTGTTTTAACGATAATTAAAATCTGAAACGGTAATACTCACTCTGGAATTTTACAGTGAACCCAGTAGCCATTTCATACCTAGTACAAAGTAAAGATTGTTTTGAGAGCTATATTAAATAGTAAAATAAAAACATGTCGCAGGCCAGCAGCTTGAGAGCCCTGCCTTTGTGGATTGCTGTCTGGGGGCCGTGCTATATGTAGTGTCACATGGAAAACTCCTGACCAGTGGCATCACCACATCCTGTTCATCTTGACAAAGATCCCCTCCTCTCCACTCATTAATTAATCTATATCAGTGTTTCCCAATCCCATCCTTGGAGACCCAAAGACAGTCAACATTTTTGCTTCCTGCCCGGAGCTGTGAGGGAGCAAAAATTTGGACTGTCAGGCAGGGAGCAAAAACGTGGACTGGCCGTAGGTCCCTGAAGACTGGATTGGGAAACACTGATCTATATTGTGTCCATTTACATCGGCTTAACCACTTATACAGTAATCTCTCCTCTTTCTGTAAATCGTTGTGAACCTGAAGCCTATACCAAGATGCACAAGTAGGAAGACGGAGGACAGCCTAGATGGGATGCCAGGGCGCACACACAGACTCTCTCACACACTACAGTCAATTTAGAGACACCAGTTCACCTAAAAGAACCCTTTTAGACTTTTACTAGCATACCCAAAGGAATCTCACTCAAAAATCCGGGGGAAAATGTGAAAATTTCACATACACAGAATTGAGTGAAATCCCCAACCCTAGCAGTACGGGGCTGCAGTGCTACCAGCTGTTTATACAGCTGGATGATTTACTGAAGAAATTCAGTTTAATTATTTTCGCCTGTAGGTAGACCATTTCCAGTAACCTTTCAGGCTAAAATCTGTCTTTATCTGTGTATTATATTAGAAAAAAATACACAACTAACTATGCATAACCTTGTTGAAACACTATACATTGATTTAGAGCAATTTGTTGATGATATATTTAATGTAGTGGAACAGATATTAAGCTCATTAATAAGCTTGCTAGACCAGTGTAGTAACATATCAAATAGCCATCAGCAGTTAAACAACATTTATGCAATAATTACAATTGTTACAAATGTCAGGCAATGCTGTTTTAATAAGTAAATTTAACAAAAGTAGTATCTGGGTGTTTGTGGCATTTTATCTATTGAAGAAACCAAACATCTGTGCCTCTGCTAAACAGCCTACCCACTGCCAGTTATTTAAGATGCATCTAGTTTCTTCTGATTTAAAATGGTTGACAGGCGGTTTTTCCTTTCTGTCTTTGTGTCCTCCACACAGCGCTTTGAGGAAAATAGTCCTTGCGGTCGAGAGACTCTTCTTTTAGCGAGCTGAATGCTTTAAAAGGCACAGACTCACAGATCTCCCTTTCTCTCTGCATTCTACAGTGGCAGCCTTGCTGACGTTCCACAGGTCAAGTTTCTTTTCTCACCTGAGACTGAACCGCTCCCCCGTCTGTCTGATCCAGTATTTGCAGTGCCTAATAACTTGCAGACGCCCGTTGGCATTGTTTGCGTGTTTTGCACTTGCACTGTATTTTGTATCTGTTTTCCAGTGACTGGTGGTAGGATTAGCAGATGAAAGTTGACTTGGACTGAACCATGCGGGTTCGGAGACATTGTCGGTCTGCTCGTGTCATGTAGTGGGTTGTTCTGTATCTTAGTAGAGAATGGGGCAGATGACCCCAGTGTATAAACTTCCTGAAGGTAAGAAGGACCAAACTATGGAATGGGATGGGGCGTTAGGGGCTTGGCGTTGAATGTTTTGGTGGTAAACATTAAAAATGGATAATAGTTGATTGATTTTGTTTCTTTTTCACTTTCATTGAGCCTTTACTTGCTTCCCTTTATTCTGCTTCAGAAGCCCTTGATTGATGTTTTATGTATGTCATGTTCCATGATTTGAGTCCAATTGTGTCACCTGCAGTCCTTTTACCATAATGGGTCTTTTTGAGGAGGTGAGAAATGCATAATTCAGACTAATGAGCAGAGTGTTAGGAAAATATGGAATAACAGATCAAGACCAGGTAGGGAAGAGGCTAGATATTGGAGGGATTGTTGCAGTTTTGCATTGTTTGTGTTGCATTAGCTGCCTCACCAGTCAACGTTGCGAGCTACAAATTAAATGCAGTATGGGCTTTGAAGTGATGAAAAGCCAGAACATTTTATGTTTAGGACCCTGCTAGCAACTTTTAGTTTGTGGGCAGAATGACCCACTTTAGTCAGCTTCCCGTTAAGGGAAATAATCTTCAGATCAAGTCAGCTCCTCCCAGAAGATGCTGGTCCAACCGAGTAATGAACCCCAGCTGCCTGTCTCTTGCTGAACCTCTTTAACACCCTTTGGGTGAGATCCACATCTAACCTGCCATAGAAACTGTGGCCCCGAAAAATGTCCTTCTCGTAAAATAGGGTTTTTTAAAAAAAGAATGCCACACATGGATTCCCATCACATGCCACAGAGGTGAACCCGGAATGTAGCCATCAGCCAAACAAACGGCTGTAGAACACTAAAAAGAAACAAACACAATGCGGTGGAATTTCCTGTGTATTTGTTGGTTGCTGTTTTTACAGGATAAAGGGATTTTCTGTTAAAACCCAACCAGGAGACTCATTTGTGGAACATCTGTGAAAATACCCACATCACTGCGTGAGGGTCCGTTTGCAGCTTCGTGTGTGGATCCTTGAGGCTCCCAGTCACCTTCGCTGCTCTCCCCTTAAACTGGCTGGGCCCAGCTGAGGCCAGTCACAAGGCTGTCTGGCAGTCCAGGCTCCTCTTTGGCTTCTCTGTTCGGTTGTTCTTGGCCGCAAGTTTGAGCCTCTCTCTCTCTCCGTCAGGAAAACTGAGGGCAGGAGGGGAGTGCATGTAGTTTCCCAGGGTGATATTGGCTTTGGACCTCTGTGACATACTCCCTGTGTCATATTAAATGTAGATTTGCACCCACTCATAAATAAAGAAAATATATTTTGCTTTAAATTTTTTTAACGCAGATTTAGTGTGGGGCTGGAGCTAAAATGACTACTCTTGTTGCCAGGTGTGTAATTTTACTTCAGTGGTCCAAAGAAATGCAACAGATTCTGTTCCCAGCTGGTGTCAGTCTCTACGGATGGTGTTTTTTTTCAGTGCCATAGGCAAAAAAAATTTCAATGCATGTACAGAGCGTTTTTGAATGCACAGTGTGTTTGAGGATGTCATCCAGAATTGCCTCAAAAGGCCCTAAGCATGGTATTTTTGATGATGAAGTGTTTCTGTCATTACTAAGATAAACAAACATATTTCCTGAGATATTTTTTAGGGGGTGGGGGTGGCTTTTGTATTATTATGACATGCAGTACCGACAGTATGTCAGCACTGACTCTCTATATCTATATATGACAACACCTGTCATCTTGAGAAGTTATTGGCTGACTGTTTAGTTTAGCTGGTCAAATGACTCTGGCATGTGGGTGGAAGAAGCACAGATATGAGGGTTAGGGTATCATCAATGCCATGAGTTTATCTCCATGAGTGTAATATACCATACCAGCATTGCTTTTGTCGGTCATCAGTTGATGCCGTGAGATGTATCGACTTTTGAACAATTTGGCGATCTGAAGACTGCATAAAATTACCAGAAGTTCCCAATCAATGGATCGTTTGGACGGCTTGTATTTTCGGTCCGAGATCAGGTGCCGCAGGTGAATGTTGTGCATTATTAGCTAAATACTATCAGGAAGATTAAAGCTGTTGCATGATGTAAAGGGCCCCAGGATGGAGACGGATACCTGGACACAGATTCAATATCGTCTATAAATTATTTACTTGAGGTGAACCTAATAGTTCTTAAGGAGATAGTCAGTAAAAGCAGTTCCAGTGAAAACTGGGATCAAATATAGGTCTCCAACAATTTAACTTGGACTAGGGAGCATGAGTACCAGATATGAGGAGAATTAGCAGTGCCAGGAATAGAATGAGTCTGTAGGCACCACTGCAAAGGAAGTAAATATTGATCACCAGCTCCTTTGCCATTAAATTTGCAAGTGTTTAAATAAACAGGTTGTTGCAATGTTGTAACAGCTAGCTTTACCTGTACATGTACAGACCTAACTTACGATTTAGGTGGGGAAAAAACATGTATAGTGAGGGAAGTCGTCTGTCACATGTAGAAAAATTAACAAGACTAGCTAGGAATCTGGAAAATCTGCATTTAGGCTACGTAATGAGCGATGAACCATGTTTTGCTGCTTGGTCGCTGCATATAGCATTAAAATTTGTTCTCACACGGGCGTGTTAACTTGGTTCCGGTTTGTTGGGCTTGTCTGACTCCCATCTGATTGGTACCAAAAATAACTAATAGAGTAGGTGACAAGTTATTTACTCTTCTGGTCACAGAGGAGTGATTTCAGCATAATCTCCAAACCCCTGGAATAATAAAGTTCAGTGTTATTTATAAAAGATTCCGTCATGAATGGAGGATGGCCAAAAGATTTCACAATTATATTACTCACATGTGTGCTGAATTTTCTTTAATCCACGCAGAAGTTTCTTCAGAGAGGCACATGACAAGAAAAAGAGTCCAACGCTGAATTTGACTTTAATGACAATATTACTCATAATAGCGATTGATAGTGAAAGTTTTTTTTTTCCACTTACACTTTCCTTGAGGGAACACAAATAATGTAGTGGTACATTCTTCATTCATTAACCAGAAACTACGTGTTAATTACATACTGACCCCATGTTCGTTTATCATTAATTAATCATAATGGTTAATGTATTTCCCTGCCTTGCGCCTGTAGCCTCTGGGATAGGTTCCGGACCCCACGCGACCCTAAATAGGACAAGTGGTTACAGAAAATGGATGGATGGATGAATGGATGGATGGCTCATGTATTTCATGCAGTTACTGCATTTATTCATGATTTGCACTTGAGTAGTAACTGAGTTAATAAGTCATCTGTGTCCCCTCATGTAAAGTTACCCCTTTTTCTATCAGGGAAAACATGGATTTGCAATTTAAAGGCAAATGTGGAGGATTTAATGACTCATGAGACATTTTTTTAAGCAACACGCATTTTGTATGATAAGCTGATATTAATGCGGCACAATGATTTTGCGTTCATATTTAACTTCAAAAGGTGCGGTTCAGATTGTCCTTTTTCTCTTCACTGTACTTGGGGTACATTTGGCTCGTTAAAAAATGTACCTGTTATCTGAAGAACTTAGTTTAATCGGTCTCATATTGCTTTTCACGCATATTGCTGTGCCCGATATCTCACAAAACTGAAAATAGTCAATCGGAAGGTGCCGCAGCCTTTTCATGTCGTGCTTTGACTTGTTGAAAAAAAAGATTATATGTCGGAAGAGACAAAGAAAATAAGCCCCTAGTTGTTTCTTTACTGCATCCCAATTAGATGACAGTACACACATATTTTTTTAGTTTGCACTCCGCTGCGCTTAAATAAGGGCCTCTTTCCTAACTGCTGGGTGCGACAATGAAACGTGCGAGTATGCGGACGGCAATTAAGTCCAATTTGGCTGCAGGAATCCCTACTAGGGGGGGGGGTGGTCTGGTTGGCCGGTCTGGTGTCGGGACGCGCAAATGTCTGCTCTGAAATACAGAGAAGGAAAGGCCGGTCAGTGATGACGGATTACCGTTTCTCCTGACAGAAACAGGATTTTATCACCCGTCTAGTCCACGCCTGGTTTGTTCCGAATGCTTTTCATCTCTCCACCGACACAAATCAGTTTTAACGTTTTCATGACACGGGAACGCTCTGGAGGAGAGGGCCGCTGCAGTGGAGGATTTGTGAGGCAGTGTTGGTTTTTTTTTCTTTTTAAGGATCCCATCTTCAAGGACCAACTGCTGCCAAGTTGCCCCTAATCTCTCACCTTCTCACTTCCTGCCTCCTCAAAAAGGGGCCCAAAGAGGAGGAATGCCAAGAGTCTTTATTTCTGATTCTCTTATTCTCTTTCCGGTCCTGGGCTTCAGTGCGAGTCCTAGCCCCCCCTGTTTTAGCAGTACCTCAGTTCCTAACTTCACTCTCAGTTCCTAACTTCACTCTCAGTCCCTAACTTCACTCTCAGTCTATTTAACTCACCTCACTCTATCTATATAACTCACCTCACTCTATCTATATAACTTACCTCACTCTATCCATATAACTCACCTCTTCCTCATTCTTGCAACCTAAGCTGAAGGATGCAGTGAATGTATCCATTCACAGCAGTCGGTGGCCGTTTTTCCAAAGTATTTAACAAAGAGGAACCTTGGGGGGGGGGGGGTGTAAAGAGAGAGAGCGAGAGAGGAGGAGGAGGAGTAAGACGGCGAGCTTTGGCACTGGAGAAAACCGCAACTGGTTTTACAGAAGGGCGCTGGTCTCTGCTCCCAAAATTCCTGTCAGCGCATACCTCCAGGTCTGTGGAGTGAAGTCACTCCTCAGTGGCCCTCAGACGCTCACACGCCACAGGGACAGCATATAAACAAAGAAAAGATTATTTATTTACACGAGCATATTCAGAGGTATATTTAAAATTAATTTTAAACAGCCTATCCTATCCTAAGAAATGCAGCTGGCTACTGTTTTGATGGATTTCTAACTGGACTTGCGCAACACCACCAAACCACCACTGTCCCCCACAGTCGGTTGGCGTTAACTGCGCGGCCCCCACGCTGGGGTGTCGGCGTGCCATAAACCGGCACGCGTTTGTTTAAAATGCTACCATTTGCCGTATATACCTTCAGCCGGCAGACGGGAGGTGTCAGCATGCAGACTGCTGTTCTAGTTAGGGATTAACTGGAGCAGTGCCCCCCCCCCAGGCCCTCAACACTCCTCCACACCGCTGCTCTGACTCCCTCATGTACAAAATCTTATTCGGGACGTATTCCCGGCTCTGCGTTATGCTCAAGGATAAAACGTTAAAACGTAGCATCTGACGGCTACAAAAATCCTTCTCGAACAAATATGGGATTAACCGTTTCTTAAACCCTGGTTTGAGTGGGATTTTCTTCCCTTTTCCGATGTTTTGTACGAAAAGTGACCTGGCAGAGACTTTTCTCATTTGCTTAGAATACAGTTCCACTGGGAAGGTAGCCTGGTAGGCCGTTTTGTTTTTGCGAGGTTTGCCTGAAACGTAATTCCAGCTTTTCTGGGCAGTTTCTGTCTCTATTTTTCTTTTGTGATTTTATTCCATGGCAGCTGACCTTTAACAATATCTATGCAACGTCTTATCTGAACGTACTATAAACCGGTTTGCCGGAGCCACCTCCTGTCTTGTTTAGTCTGTCAGATAAGTGTAGGTTAGTGAGTATCACAGTCCGTTTTTGGTTGTTTGGTTGTTTTTCGGTATCGCTTCTTCATAGTGCCACCTACATAAATACAGATGCTCCTCTGTTTATGACGTTTTCACTTTACAATGCAATAACATTGCACATTCACTTGTCAATTAGATGTGCTGTACTATGCTTTTGATTGATTCTGGCCAATGGCAGCTTTCACACAACTCAGTGTTTAACAATGTATTGTTCAGTGTTTTGCACTGTATTTAACCAATAAACCTGTATTAATTGATTTATTTTCCCCTGGTATTTAGTTAGGCAAATTAACAAATTATTTACTTATTCAATGATATTAATTATCTACTTATCATATTCTTATCTGAATATTTTCCTCTTACGATGGGTTCATCGGAATGTACAGTAATTCCATCGTAAGTTGAGGAGCAACTGTAAACAAAAAAATAAACACAGAATAATAAACGACCTACATTTCTTTCCACAGAGGCGAAGGACCCGGATGTGTTTGCCTTCTATCACGAAGGGGCGCAGGCCTGCCTGGGCGTACACGACGGCGTCCTGCGCACATCGGCATCCTGCAGTGAACTGGCGCAGCAATGGAAGTGGGTGTCGCGCGGGCGCCTCTATAATCTGGGTGGCACAGCATGCCTGGGCCAGGCCACCGGCGAGGGCGTCACCACCTCTCTGGGCATGTACTCGTGCGACCGCGAGCCACCCCGCGTCCGTCTGGGCTGGCACTGCAAGCTGGTGCTGGAGAGCCTCAGTCTGTACATGCCCTCCGGCCAAGCCCCCAACGCCAATGCCTCACAGGATGCTTCAAGGTGGGAGTCGCCCGAGGGGCAGCGCTGGAAGTTGTACAAGTCAGAGGGGGATTTGTGCTCCAAGACGTACCGCGGTAAGACCTGAGTGATCAGCCTTTGTACCGCCGTAAGACCTGAGTGATCAGCCTTTGTACCGCCGTAAGACCTGAGTGATCAGCCTTTGTACCGCCGTAAGACCTGAGTGATCAGCCTTTGTGAGGCATTTTGGAAAGTTTGCCAGCGTGGGCTTAAGCAGGCCAGTAAATCAGAATTAACCCCCTTTTTCTTTCTTCTAATTATTGGTATTTTTTAATAGGAGTGTAACAGTACACTTATTTGGGGGGGGGATAGTGTTGGTGTCGGTTTTCCTCCCTGGCTTAAGGGGGAGGGCAGTTTTGCTGTGTCATCTGGCACAGATGTGGCCCAGCGGGATGGCCAGCCAGGAGCCGAAAGCCCTGCAGCCGTTTGCATGCCTTCACGCACCCCCCCCACCTAATCCCGTTTTCTTCCCCGTCATCTGGCCATCCTCGCCTGCCGATGACCCGGAACGCGTAGCGATGACGTTGCCGACCGCGGCGGTGCGCAGACAGGCCGGCGTTATTTTGGCACAGGTCCTGGGGACACATCTGCTTTGTTGCACCCGAAAGCCGGGTCACTGGAGCCGCCAGCCCTCAGAGCGTCTGCTGCGGAAAAGTCCGCCACCAATCTGCTTTTTTTTTCTCCTCTTTTATAATCCTTTGGCCTACTTTTAGCGACTTAGCGCTGGAGGAGCACTGGGTCGCGGTTACATCACCCCTGCATCATCTGGTACCCCCGCCGCTCTACGGCTAGCCCTACAGCCAGACCCCGGGTGTCAGCGTCCTTCCTGGTAGCCTGCTTTTCTCCCCCTATCAAGCAAGAAGTCCTTCCCCAGCAAACACCCCCGGCCGTTTCCTCGAGCGGCGGACACTACAGGTCACGATATCGCATTTCCTTTTGAAGTCGCTCAACGCGCTTCGCTAACAACCGGCAAGGACGTCGCTTTCTGCTGGGAAATCGTCACAAGACGTTTACGTTGCGTGACGTCACATGTGCGACCCCCTCCCCCCGCAATCGCTGTGGGTGGAGGTGTGGTCACGCTAAGACTTATTCAGGAAGAGAGAGGAACCGCTGGCTCATATTATCACAGTTTTATTGCTAATGATACATGGATTAGCTTTTTAAACGAATTAGTCGTTTTTAGGGGACCTAAAGGTCTGCAGAAGATTCATCTATCTTCCAACCACTTATAAAGTACAAGAGCACTGGGGGAGGGGGCTGGAGCGCATCCTAAGGTGTAAAGCAGGAAGGTATCTGGCCATTTGCCGGACCCTCACACACACACACAAACACACACAGACACATACACAGGTTTGTAATTATATCTTTGTGAGGACCCTCCATTCATTTCTATGGGGAAAACTCTAATCCCAACATGACGACCTTAACCCCTACCCAGCCTTAACCTTAACCATAAGTAACCAAACAAAATACGAGACTTTCGGCATTTTTACTTTTTTTGATTGCATTCACAGATTGCATTCACACCTGAAAAATGGTCCCCACAATGTCAAAGAAACAGGTTTTTATTACATTGTGGGAACCAATTGCCCCCTACAATGTAATAAAAACGGAATCCACACACAAACTGTGGGAAACTTCAATGAGCCAAACGTCCAGAGTAGCCGTCCATGCTTCCAGCCTCTTCAGCTTTTTAAAACACCTTTATACTCTTAATAAGTATGTACAGATGTCTAGAGGGGCTTAGCCCCTTGCCCCCCTCCCCCCCAAAAAAAACATCAGTACCCTCCCCATGTTCCACAGTCAGTGATTGGCATGTTAGTAGGTGTCTTACGTGCCTCACACATCCACATATTTAGACTCTTGCTGAAGTAGCGCAAAGTTTGCAGTCATTTTTGTTTTGGATGCATCACCAGACGTCAGCAGACGAATCTCTGAAGCTTGATGCCCCTGCCCATCTGGCCCTGATTACAAATGGAGGGGGAAGTCCACTCTTCTCGTTCCAAAAGCGGAGCCTCTTGGGGGTGGGGGGGGGGGGGTGGCAAGAGGCAGGCCAATCGTGGGCAGGCATTGACCAGACACCTCTGACCTCTGGAAGGCTTCACGCTCTTGGTTGTAAATGTTCCAGAGATCCCCCGGCCTGGACGGAGGTGAAAGAAGTGGCCTTTCCAGCGGGTGGTTTAACATCTCCGTGTAAGGTAACGCGGTATGGTGGGCAGCCGCATCGCTCACAGGTCTGCATCCCACAGATCACCGCTCGCTGGTGACTGAGGGCAAGAAGAAACATTTTGAGTTGATTACTGCACTGCGTGTCGTGCCATTAACCTTTGTTTTACACTCCTAATACTTAAGAAATACACTTTTAAAAAATCATTTTGGAAGTAAGAGATAAATCTCCATTCGCCGCAGGACTGAGGGCTGTATTATTTCTGGCCAAGACTGAGGCTGTAGGGCTTTATTGCCAAGGAACTATGGACTGCAAACAGGCCAGGTGTTCCCTGCTCACTGAAGAATAGTTTTCTGTTATCCAGCACAATACGCCCACTATCTCCTGATAATTTAAATTTCACTTTGTATTAATTCCTGCTGCACTGTGCAGAATTTCCCTAGAAGCAAATGAAAATGATGTATATTTCAGTGATATTTCTCATCACGCCGTAAAGGGATGCACACCTCGTTCTCCTTCAAGACAAAAGAGTTTACCATGTAAGCCTTAAATCTGGAACTGTGAGGACTGAAAATATGCAGAAATATGCCGATTATTTCCAAAAGAGTCGTTGCTGAAAATGCTCATTTGAAGGTTTTAATTGTTTAATTTTCTTATGGTATATAAATTTAACTGGTTTCCTCTCATAGTCCAAAAACATGTGGTTTGTGTGTGTGTCTGTGTCTGTGTATGTCTGTGTGTGGATCATGTTTATATTACAATGTGGGGACCAAATGTCCCCCACAATGTGATAAAAACCTGTTATTATGACATTGTGGGGACCATTTTTCAGGTCCCCACAAAGGTCTGTGAATGCAATCGAAAAACTTCATAACCCCTCAATGATATGAATGTAAATGTGTGTGTGTGTGTGTGTGTCTGTGTGTGTGTGTGTGTGTGTGTGTGCCCTGCAGGGTGTCCTCTATGTAATGTCTTGTGCGGCTCAGGATAGACTATGACTTATCCCAGGAAAATCAGCTGGATAATGGGATGGATGGATGGATGGATGAATGGATTGATGGATGGATGGATGGATGGATTAAATCCAGTTCCATGTTCTGCCCGAAACCAAAGCACAGTGCACAGACCGTGCAGCCCTGGTCTACACTGAATAAACACTTTAAATCAGCAGCTGTGAGGATTTGCCCTTCCCTGTCACGTTATGGAAGCTGACATGCCAGTTCCTGTTCGTAAAAAATAAAATGAAAATAAATAATACAATGCAAAGGCTGATGAAATGAGTGCGCAGGCAGTAGAGGAGGCTGCTCACTTCGGGAAATAAACCCCTCTCACTCCCTTGCAGAAATATACACCATCCAGGGCAATTCCCACGGGCGTCCCTGCAACCTGCCTTTCCTGTACGACGGGCAGTGGTTCCACGGCTGCACCAGCGTCGGCCGCGAGGACGGACACCTGTGGTGTGCCACCACCTATGACTACTCCAAGGACGAGCGCTGGGGCTTCTGTCCAATCAACAGTAAGTCTGCTACTCTGCCCCCCCTCTGGTGTGTTGTGGTACTGCTGGTCCACTTGAATTTATAGCACAGCCCAAAAAGATGCCTTCTGTGTGCGACTAAATGTCCAAAAACATGTCATTTCGTCTGACATCATGCTCAGTCCTCCTGCTTGTCCCTGCTTAACCTCCGCCCCCCCCCCTTCTTCCCAGGTGAAGACTGTGAGACTTTCTGGGACATCGACCCGGTGACCAAAAACTGCTACCAGTTTAATTTCCAGTCGGTCCTGTCCTGGAACGAGGCCCGTGCCAGCTGCCGGCAGCAGAAGGCAGACCTGCTCAGCATCACAGAGGTTCACGAGCAGAGCTACGTCAGCGGTGAGTTAACATCCAGCCTAAAAACCAAGAGTTGTGCCGGTTTCTCCCTATCATTCATTTACAGCTGATTACAAAACGTGGCACTACAGTCACTCAGTGGGCTGTTAATTCACACCTGCAACCTCAAAGCCGGAACAGTGAGGCTTAGAAACAGATTTTTCCTCAGACTATTCAACAACTGTAGCGTCTGGCTGTTAAAACTATTGATAACTCTGGATTCACAACTCTGAATCTAAATGTATTTATTATTTTCACATTGTGCTCCCATGCCAGACTTCCATTTTAAATCTTTCCCCACCAATCAAAAGGTTTTTTGTCTCTCTTCGTCTACACCAAGTGGATAAAAGTATCGGGATGCCTGGCCATCACACCTACAGGGATTTTTTATGGCATCCCATTCTGAATCCATTGGCATCAATATGGTGTTGCCCCCCCCCTTTGCAGCTATAACATCTGCCACTCTTCTGGGAAGGCTTTGCACAAGATTTTGGAGTGTGTTTGGGGAATGTTTAACCTACGCAGGTTTCAGCCAAGCCAGCTCGACATCTCCGGCCGCAGCCATCCTTCGACTTTCTCCTCCTCCCACATTTCAGGCGATTTGTGGAGCAACAAGATTGGCAGAAATTCTAACCAATCACGGTTCCTAGAGTGTACTTCTTGTGTAAGCCTTTTACGGCATCTTCCATTGCCGAAGACCAGTTACAATACTCAAAAACACAGAAGGTGCTTCTTGCCCCATCCCAGATACATCGGTGGCATCCTCGTCAAACGAGATCGATCCCATGATTCATTGTGCCCTATGTTCGTTCTTGGAAGGCAAGTCAGCAAGATCACTCTTGCCAAGACCACAAGTATGATCTTTGGTATTGAGAAACACTCGGTGACTAATAGGAAACAGAGAAAACCAAAAACACAAAACACACAGGCACTACATGCAACTCACTTGTCCTATGTGGAGTTTTTGGGTGGATTTACTGCCCAAAGACGTGTGAATTGTGTTATTGTATGGGTGTGACCTGCCTTTCCATCCAGGGTGCCTCATAATTAATAATTAACGACTTATTCCATCAACACTTGTCCAAGGGACGTGATGAATCTGACAGGAAAGAAGGTGTCCAAAGTGTTTCCTGCTTTGTGTCATCAGGTTTACTGACGAGCTACAGCGCCTCCCTGTGGATCGGTCTAAATGACTTGGACATCAACGGGGGCTGGCAGTGGGCAGATTCTGGGCCATTCAAGTACCTCAACTGGGAGCCTGGTGAGGAAGCTCTGTGGGAGTTTCTAACACAAAAAAATTTCTGAGGGCAAAAAGAAAAATTATTGGTTTAGAGAGAGAACCAGTCAGATTGTAGAGGAGGTAAATCCAAGTAACTAGAGGAGGCGGGACTAATCAGTCAGATGTCTTGGTCCTGCCTCTTCTAGTAGCCTGGACCCACCTCCCATGAGCTTGTTTTACCTGGGCGTTGTGCCAGAGTTAGTGGAACAGATGCTGATGTTATTCTTGTAAGGGACAGAGGGGGGCAGTGTGGGAATCAAGTTGGGGGAGAAGGTAGGGGAGCAGGGTCCTAATGCCCCCTTCCCGCTGCTGTGCTACAGACCAGCCGAGCCACGAGGGGGAGGAGAACTGCGTGGTGATCCGGACGGAGTCGTTGGGCCGCTGGCAGACACGCGACTGCTCAGTGGCCCTGCCCTACATCTGCAAAAAGAAGGAGCTGACCGGCTACGAGGACGTCTGGAAGTATGAGTGGATGCACAGCCTGGCCGAGGGTTGCACCTTTGGCTGGATGGAATTCCACAGCTCGTGCTACAGGCTGAACCCGCGCCGGCTGACCTGGGGCGAAGCCCTGAAGACTTGTAAGAAGTTGTCAGGAAACCTGGTCAGCATCCACACCTTGGAGGAGCTGGAGTTCATCGTCCACAACCTGAAGAAAGGTGAGGCGTTCAGTTTTTGGGGCCCCACTCAACAAGGTACTTCAGGGGCCCTACGGCACCTAGTGTAGTGACTGTTTGTTGCCAGCAGGAGGCCGGGAAACCTCAGGGCCTCACACAGATGCGTGGTTTGAATGGTAGTAAACAGCGCCACTGGGAAGGGGGGGTCCCACCCCCCCTCAGTCAGAACACTGATTACCAGCAGGCATGTGGCTGTTTTGTTTTAATTAGACCTGGAGGAGCTGTGGATCGGATTACACGACATGCACATGCAGATGAACTTCGAGTGGTCTGACTATTCGCCTGTCAGGTTCACCTACTGGCACCCGTTTGAGCCCAACAACTTCCGGAACACCCAGGAGGACTGTGTGACCATGTGGGGGCCGGTGAGTGTGAACCCACAGGGCGTGGGGCCCTGACACACTGTTTATGGTCTCAGGAAAGACAGGCTCTGTTCACCAAGCACATTTTAACTCTTCTTTTGTATTTTACTGAAAATGTTTGCTAGAATTTTCCACTGAAGCGAGGCTAGTGTACTTGATCTCACATTTGTAATCGTTTTAGTTTAGATATTTTTAGTTTCATAATTATTTCTTGCTCTCTTGTTCCTTGTAACCATGTGTGTGTTTGTTTCTGTGTGTGTCTGTGTGTCTGTGTGTGTGTGTGTCTGTGTGTGTGTGTGTGTGTCTGTGTGTGTGTGTGTGTGTGTGTGTNTGTGTGTGTGTGTGTGTCTGTGTGTGTGTGTGTGTGTGTGTGTGTCTGTGTGTGTCTGTGTGTGTCTGTGTGTGTCTGTGTGTGTGTGTGTGTGTGTGTGTGTGTCTGTGTGCACAGGAAGGCCGGTGGAATGACAGCCCTTGCAATCTCACCCTGCCCTCCATCTGCATGAAGGGTCGCACGTACGATGCGTCCGAAGTCCTCGATGAAAATCTGGAAGACGTGATAGACCACAACTGCAAAGAGGTGCCGGCCTCTGACCCCTGCCTCCGCCGCCCGTTCAGGGCCCATGCGACTCTGCATGCAGCTTGCATGGCCCATATCTGCTGCACCTGCGTTTGTGCACATGCGTGTCGTCGTGTGTTTGGATGGGTGTCCCAGCGTGTCAGCCCCGCTCGGTGTTTGTGTCTGTATAAAAAAGCCCAGCCTGTGACCTCATCGTCCTTTACCCCTCCCCTGCCCCCCACCCCACACAAAGGCCCCATTCAGCCTTACTGCTGCGTCATGTGTCTTGTTCCCCAGCTGTTTACAGTCAGCCTCGGTGCACCAGTACCTCACAGACTCCAAAGCTCCAACTCTCGGCCCTGTCTCCCTACCATGGTTACTGTTTGTTGAATGAGAATGATTGGTTCGGAGAAATAACCAATCAGACTGTAGAGCAGGTGGGACCAATCAGGTATCTTGTTCCTATCTCCTGTAGTTGATTGGACCCACGTCTTCTACAGTCTGATTGGTTATCTCTCTGGACCAATCATTTTTTGTTCTGCCCTCAGAACATTTTTGTGTAAGTAAAACTCCCACGAGGCCCCCGTACTCGCATCTTGGCTCCATGGCTGCTTGCCTAACATTGGGACCTGGATTCTTCCCCCCCCCTGCCCATTAGGTACTAGGTCCCTGGTCCTCCTCTCTTTCCTCCCCCTGCACATATCTGCTAACGCCCCCCACTGCAGCCCCGGTGCTCCGCTGCATTCGCACATCGTTTACTGCCCACGGTCAAGGGCCCGTGCATTTAGGCGTGTGTGTCATGGTGAGTAATGTGGAGCTGAAGGGACAGAGAAGGTTATTTATGGTCATCGTCATTCTTCGCAGTAAATATCTTTTGATTAAAGGTTTTAGTGGCTCCTCAGAAGCTGTGAGGCAGAATAACTTCGAGCAAAACTTCTGTTGCAGGATTAAAATAGACACAATTATCCATCCATCCATCCATCCATCCATTCGTTCATTTGATTGTACTGAGTATGCAATCTGAAAATTTTTGAAGAACTCGCATCCTAAAAACACCACATCAGATCCTATCCCTGGGCCTGAACCATGGTGCAGGTTTTCAGCCCCCATGCTGAAGACTGCCCACCCCCCCGCCCCCCCCCTTTCTGGCACAGTGAAAACGTCACGTCTCTTTTAAGTTTGTTCTGGAGTCGACAAAGGGGGAGAGATTGACAGCTCAGGACCCTCCGCTGTCACCCCGAAGTCTTCCAGACCCCAGACAACTGGGAGAGCTTCACATATCCCCCCCCCCAACATCAGAGTTTGCCTTTTGCATGAACCGTGTACACAGATGTGGTTTGTGCTGTTAATTTTTTTTTTCCCGTCCGTCGCGTTCCAGAGCTGCTGCATCCTTTATCTGTCATGAATAAAAGCTAGAGGATGATTCCTAACTCTCAGCCTCTGGGAGTTTGCATGCTCTCTCCGTGCTGCTTCCTTTCTCCATCCCGATCTCATCTACAGTTCAAAGATTGGTGTCGCTTGATTGCGATGGGCTGGCATCCCGTCCAGGGTGCCCGCTGCTTTGAGTTCTAACCTCACGTCGATTTTGAACTAGATAAGCCAGGAGTGGCCAGTCTAACCCAGAAATGGCTGTTGCATGTGTGAGTTTTCGCTGCAACTTCATAATTAGATCACTAATTAGAGGACTGATTTTCTGAAGAGTCCTCACACCTGGGTTTGAACAGCTGACCTAAAGGTTATCCCAAAAACCTGCATACACACCGGCCCTTTGTGGAGGAGATTGGCCACCCCTGAAATAAGCAGTATGGAAGATGAGAGGATAATTGGTCATGTTGCTGAGATCTCCTCCTTGTCACTTCTAGACCGGCTCATCTCTCTGCTCTTCCTGCTAGGGCTGGCACTGGTACCGTCCATTCTGCTACATAGTGATGGATGAGCTGGTGACCTTCGATGAAGCTCGGAAGGCCTGCATAAAGCAGGAGGCCATTCTGGTTCCCGTGACCACAAGGTCAGTGCTAAGCCTAAGCGAAGCTGCAGGAATTCTGAACGTCGGGTTTGGAAAATCCTTCTTTTTATGGCGAATTCTTAAAAAGATTCATACTTTTCCCGCGCACATCTGCTCTGTAATCTCATCGTGAGATTATTTACAAAAACGTCGAGCTCACCAAAAGGGGGTGGGACGTGCAGACGGACCGAGATCACCGTCATGATCTGTGAAGGGGGAGATCTTTCTGCTGGGATCCCTGTGTGTGGGTGGATGTGCAATATACATATTTATACAGTAATATTTCACAGTAATATCTGGATGAATGGTGTATTAATAGAAAGAGTTTTAACTGCAAAATTGTTCTTAGCGTCCCATTTCTTACATGCCACCACCATCCAGGCTAAAAATGACTGCGTTTACTCCAGGTAATAATTTTCGCCACAGCCTAATTCTCCTCGTAACCGGATTGCGTTAGTGCTGTTCTTTCTTTCGTGAGTGTCAGCAGTTTGGTGGGGGCTGCCGCACGCTTGCTCCTCCGGCGCCGGTCGGGGTGGCTGGGCTAACCTCTTTGCGGTCACTGCAGCTTTCAGCAGGCCTTCCTCAACCGGCTGATGCCGAGAACCACGACCTACTACTGGGTCTCGCTGCAGGACCAGAACGGCACCAACAGCTTCCGCTGGCTCAGCGGTGACGAGGTCTCCTACACCAACTGGCACGTGGATGAGCCAGGTCCTCCGCGGGCTGCTGCCCCTCCCATCCGCTACATCAGCTACAGGCACGTTTGGTCTCTCTGGAGAAATTCCTTCGGCTGTGTGACGTTCTCCTTTCCCACACAGACTACAGTAAGGGCGGCTGCGTCGCTATGTCAACCGCCGCCAGTCTGGGCAAGTGGCAGGTGATGAACTGCAACTCGACCCAGGCCAAGTACGTCTGTCGCATGAGCCTGGACTCGCCGCTGAGCCCGGAACCCACGGCCCCCCATCCCACACCCAGCCTTACTGGGACCTGTCCTCAGGGCTGGAAGACCAGCAACACCATGCACCACTGTTACAAGGTACATGCTCTCCCTTTAACCCTAAGAGGCCGACTGACCATGCACTCTGTCCCTCTTGTCAGTATTGTTGGCCTAAAGGGACGGTGTGTATGTTTAATCTCATTTCATTTATTGTAGGTTTAAACATGTACATTGTCTCTGTGTTAACTGACTG